GTGTTGGATTGCTGATTGTCACATGTCAGTATTTCTTTTTCACATATCATGTTGTATATAATTTGCATCGGCGCATATAATTTCAGAAAGTATATGCCGATGCAACAAATTATATACAGCATACACATAACTTATGGTATCTTACCTGTTATAATAAACAATCGACTTGTATTACAGGGGCAATGAACACACAAGTTTGTACAGCAACCAAAAGGACGCCATACGAACGTGTGTATGGACAAGAACCTCGTTCTGGTTTTGCTTTGATGAAAGAGTTATATGATCAAGGCATAAGGGACGAGGAAGATATACCAGACAATGTGACCGCAAAACTATGAGAACATAAGGCAAGGGTTAGGAGAAAGTGTTGTGTTGAGCGATGACAATGGTGAGAGCAGTGCACACGAAATTAATGTACGAGAATCTGAAAGTGCTCCAACGTCGTCCGATGTCATGTCTACAAATCATGAAGCGTTTCGGAAAGCTGCTGCAGAAAACGTAGAAAAGAATATAGAACGAATGAGAACAGTCATTGAAAGCAGATCTCTGTTGGGGGATTGGTACGCATTAACATTCCTCGAATAGACAGAGCGGGTATTGATAGAAGATCACTTCCGTGTAAAGTTCTGGAGGCTCTCGATAGGGGTTATTGTCGTCTCGGATGCGCCTTTGGGATTTTAGAGAGGTGTTATCTAGCAAGTGAGATGGAAGGTGTAAGTGCAGAGTTTCCAGAACTTGAACATGTTCCTAGCTCTCAAATATCTTTCCCGTTTACAGAGCTCTGCGTCTGCTAATGCTTTATGTCATTGCAAGTCTGGCTGTGTTAATAACCGGTGCGCATATAGAAGAGCGGAGGTTGCTAGTAGCTCTCGCTGCCATTTTTCAGTAATAAAATAAATAGACGTATGAATTAAATAATATTATGTAACCTGGTAGGGCCTGTCCAGCTACAATTAGGTGACATAAGTAGGGGGGGTAATTGCGAGATTGACCAATGAGAATATATCAGATCGTTTAGAACATATATTAATATACTTCAATGTTAATTATCTATTGCAAATAGCTAAATTTTATAGGTTTATCTTTGATAACTTAATACTGTATTAGTATGTCTTTTTTGCTATACATATTTATACAATACTTTACTATACTCAATGTTAAATATTTGTGTATACAATTTTAGAAGTCTATATATATAATAATATTATTCACATCTATATAAAATTGAAATACTTGTCTTAATCAAAAACTTATTATACAAATGACCTCATACTCATTGAAGGAAAGTAATTGAGTCATGATAATGAGTCTACTGCACCCAAATGCTTGGTAAAGCTTCTTAACCAACAATTTCTAATAATAATAATAACTTATTATTCAACAGTAAAAAAACTAATACTCTTTTTGAAGCCTATATAGGAATACTAATACGTGTTCTCACAGCGTTTAAAGCCATTTAAGACTACTACTGCTTACACATTTACAGATACTACTATTTTAATTTTAATAGTTGTTTCTACTTTAATTTTTTTTATAACTTGTATCAAGATTATGCTGTGCATTAGTATGTCCCTGTTCAGCAGCTTTTTGATAAAATTCAATTGCTTTTTGGTCATCCTTTTCTATTCCAACTCCAAATTGATAACACAAACCAAGTGCATATTGTGCATTAGCATACCCTTGTTCAGCAGCTTTTTGATATAATTCCACAGCTTTCTTATCATCTTTTTCTAAACCAATTCCGTTTTCATAGTATGTACCAAGATTATATTGTGCAAGCATGTGGTTCTGCTCAGCAGCTTTTTGATATAATTCAATTGTTTTTTGCAAGTTTTTCTCAACGCCTGTTCCAAGTTTATAGCATAAACCGAGATTATACTGTGCACTCGCAAATCCTTGATCAGCAGCTTGTTGATAAAATTTAACAGCTTCTGTCTTATCTTCTCTTACTCCAACCCCTTTTGAGTAACACCAACCAAGATTATATTGTGCATTAACGTTTCCTTTCTCAGCGGCTTTGCGAATAAGTTCCACAGCCATTTGATCATCCTTTTCCACGCCAATTCCATTTCTATAGCATATGCCAAGATTGTATTGTGCTTTTGCTTCTCCCTGGTTGGCAGCTTTTTTATATAATTCAAACGCTTTTTGATTATCTTGTTTCACTACCATTCCAGATTGATAGTAAGTGCCAAGATTGTATTGTGCCTGAGCATATCCTTGTTCAGCAGCGTTTTGATACAACTCAAAGGCCTTTAGATTATCCTTTTCTACCCCAATCCCATTTTCATAACATACAGCCAGATTATACTGTGCTTTAACATGCTTTTGTTCAGCAGCCATTTGAAACAATTCAATAGCTTTTTGATAATTTTTTTCTATTCCGATTCCATTTTTATAACACAGACCAAGGTTATTTTGTGCAGTAATATGCCCCAATTTGGCTGCTCTTTGATATAATTCAGCAGCTTTCTGCTCGTCTTTTTCTATTCCGATTCCATATTCATAACATAAAGCAAGATTGTATTGAGCGCCAGCGTGCCCTTTTTCAGCGGCTTCTCGATATAATTCCGCAGCCTTTTGCAAATCTTTTTCGATCACAGTCCCCGAGTTATAACACTTGGCGAGAACGTACTGTGCATCAATATTTCCTCGTTCCGCTGCCTTTTGATAGAATTTAATTGCCATTTGGAAATTTTGTTTTACACCGATTCCGTTCTGGCAGCATGCAGCGTAATTATATATTGCACTAGCTGCTCCTTGTTCAGCGGCTTTTCGAAATAATTTGGCAGCCATTTCATTATTTTTTTCTACTCCAATTCCATTTTTATAACACAAACCAAGACTATTTTGTGCATTAGCATGTCCCTGTTCGGCTGCGTTTTTATATAGCTCAAACGCTTTTCGGTCATTTTTTTCTATGCTAATGTTATTTTCATAACATAAAGCAAGATTATACTGTGCACTGGCATGTCCTTGCTTGGCTGCATTTTGATACGACTCAATTATCTTCGAACCCTTTTTTCTTACTCTGGCTTCCTGGTCACTTATAATATTGGAATTTTCTCGTTCGACCACATTTTCGTCTGTATCCTCAACATCGACCGCAATTCTATAGAAATTATCTAGATAATATTGTGCAATAAAATGTCCCTGCTTAGCTGCCTTTTTAAACAGTTCAATCGCCTTTTGATCATCTCTCTCTATTTCGATACCATTTTTATAACTTATACCAAGATTGGTTTGGGCATCAGCATGTCCTTGATTGGCTGCTTTTTGAAACAATTCGGTCGCCTTTTGGTCATTTTTTTCTACACCAATTCCATTCCTATAGCACATTCCAAGACTGTTTTGTGCATCGGCATAATCTTGTTCGGCCGCTTTCTCATACAATTCAGCTGCCTTTTGATAATTTGTTTTTACTCCGGTCCCATTTTCATAGCATTTACCGAGTTCATATTGAGCAGTAGCGTCTCCATTCTCAACAACTTTTCTATAGCGCCTTTTAGTATTAGCTGAGCCTTGTTCTTTTCTATCCCTTTTATATTTATTCAAACAATTTAAACCAGTAACACGAGGCAAACCATATTTTTTGAACATTTTTCTAAAATGTCAAGATAAGTGGATTTATTATGCAAGCGTTAGTATTAGTTAGATGTTTGTAAGTGAATTGATCGGTGCATGGCAGGAGATAGCCTAAATTTAAACAAACTTTCACGTAGTACTATAAAGTAACCGGTATCACCTTGTTTCCCTGCTTCGCAAGATAACCTTCTTATAGGCTCCTTTTTTATAATGCTATAATGGATTTTATGTTATCACACAGCATACAATAAAAAAGCGCACGACATTTGTCACACCTCTTCAGGCGTCAGTTAATAGGCCGATGTTCATGTGTACCGGAATTTGGTGGTCCAATTGGTCCTTATTGACGATTCGGCATGACATGTCTTGTCGTTATTGATGAATAGAACCATCTGGACAGCAGAAGTTGCAAGAGTCATGTGAACAAATGCAACGAAAATGTCCAAGCATGTTAGTAAAGAAACCAGTACTCGATTCGTGCGCATTATAATCTTGGATTCATGGCGCGCCAAGGATGTAGGCGCAATGAATTTACTTAAGACATGTACGGCGTGAAATTTATTGGCTTACTTCGCCCATTGTAGATATGATTTATGAACATGACCATGAAACCTTGTTATTCATATACGACATGATAATGAACGTCATTATTGAAACCTTGATGGCCTTTATTTTTCTGTAAATATTAATTGTTTCAATCAATGGAGTTTCGAATATGCAATTTTATGTTCGAATATGACACAATATAGCCTAATTTGCCATGCGAATATAAGTAATCCACGTTATGCCCTTCGTACTTATGGACTTGTTGCTTTATATGCCGACGGTGATGCTTGTCTTAGTCTGTGTTTAAATCGTTATTTCTTGCAATTATCATTTTTGGGGTATGCAAAGTTTTGTTTATCTAAGCCGTAATAATGACGGAGAGGAGTAGCAAATACGGTACACAACAAAACTTGTGAAAAAGGGACGTTGTTTCAGTTCACTTATAAGGGAAACATCGAAGTTAACTGAAAGCATTGTAAATGTGTAAGAGTTTATAATGATGTAATAAACAATTGCACTACGCAAATGCTTCAAAACGATGTTGACAAGAAAAATTTTCAAGTCGTGAAACTCAGGGGTGCATGCGTGCTGCATTCAGACAACTTGGTTGCCACTATTCGGCAGCAGTAAGCGAGCCAAACATACTATATGTTCATATTCATAAGTTAATGGCTTTGCTTACATGTATCTTCTCCTTTCTACATATTGACTCTTATTTTGAAATGTAAGCAGTTTTTATATTAACAGCTGAGGGATTCTAACAACTTTAGAAATTGTTGCCTACGTTCGATTTAAGTGTAAAGATAAATTGACTTGTCGATACAAGATTTGGAATATGCAAATCGTTTGATAAAGAATGGGTCAAATACACATTGCTATGCTGCAAGAGAAAAAGGAAGCGAAAGTTTCCTAACGATATTAAATTTGTTGGTAAGTATGAGGAGAGTTGTCATTAATGTTGTGACAAAATTGATTCGTGTCTCTTAGCATTATGAGTATTTTTTTTTTGTATATTATATGGACATAATAAAAAAGAGTATAATTAATAATGCGTGCATTTGATATTTAGTACATGCCTATTAGGATTTATTAGCATTCAATACATAATTTCCCCAGTTTTCAGGTTAATATTATGCAAGCCTTTCTGCTCTATAATTTGCTAAATTAGCTTTACTGTAACTTGACGGAAAGTGATCGGGCCAACAATCGATCGCTTCTTCCAAACGAAGTTGTGGCTTCACCTACTTCTCGTTGTAAACTAAACTTTACTACTCACGATCTAGTGTCGCTAATAGACTACTCCGTCAAACGCTATAGAATATTTTGCTTTATTAATATTAAGAAACCTATGGTTTTGGTTAGTGCCCCAAATTCTTGACAACGTCACATCATTACGGAAATTATTTCTGTACTTTTATACCATTACTTGTGCTTGTAAAAAGCAGTGAACAAGACTTTATTCTAGTTTACAATTAGGATGGTGATCGTGGTGAATCTTAGTTATGTCCCCAAGCTATTTGTTTAACAACGTTACCGTTATTTTCCTTGATCATGCTAAGACCTCTTCGGAGAATGTTTCATTTTGAATTTTCTTATCGAACCGAAAGTCCGAAAATAACGGCAGTTTAACCATTCAATTGTGTTGATTACAAAATCGTTGATAAATTGCATTATAACTGCCGATAGTAATTTGTCATCGTCATATCATGACTGAGTTGACGCGTATTTAGACTCGACTTTCCATATAAGAAGACACTATTTTACATAATTTGGCAATACGAGCTTTGTCTTTTCTCTTTTAACTCATCACTTAAACTATCATAGCTCAACCAATGTCAGATACCAACATCGACAACGACGACGCAATTCATCCTGTATGCGCAACACTTGCCGCCATTATTCGTGAAATTTTCAACAACGGTCATGCTTCACTTACTGTCATTCTTCAGCCAAAGCTCCAGATTCATGTAGAAAACGTCCAGTTTGATCTCTCCATCAACAATGATGGTGAATACGAAATGTCACTTACCAAAGACAACCCAAAAGATAATAATGACAAGGAATTATCCGTTGTCCCCATCTATTTACAAAGGAATCTATCAAAACTCGTCGCGACATCAAGTGTTCGAAACTTTGATTTATCCAAGTCTCATCGTAATCGACGCTATTCTTATGTTGAACCAGACCTTAGTTTCTTAACTGATGAACAACGCCAAGAACTTTATAATTTACTTGAAGATGTTGCATCTGGACTGTCTAATAAACCAAAATACCACGTGCCTAACAACATCGACGCAACCAAGCTGAAAGGCTGGATCCGCAATAATTCCTTATCCCTTCGTAACAGTAACAAGACACCATCTCAGAGATTCTGGGCTGCTTATCGATTGGGTATGATATTCTTCTTCCTCAAATCTAAACAGAAGCTGGTGAATAGTACCGAGCAAGCCGAAGTATTGGGATACGAAATGAAGAGGCTGTTTATGGAAAAAAAGCAAGTGTTTCGTATTTGTGAAGTGTTCACGGTATTGGGCGGAAAGGCTCTTCAAAAAGTTAAGGTGTTTCATGTGACTGATTTCTTAATGTGGTCTGAATGGCAATACCAAGCTTTACTGGACTATATTAGAGCTATTAAAAATGGACGGACTACACTGAGGTAAAAATAAATGCAAGGACGCAGTAAGAATGTAAGTTTGCATAGCAATAGTGTTCGTTATAGGTCTGCCAAAGTTTATGGCTTAGTTAGTGGTTACAATGATAAAATATTCTTTTAATTCTTTTAGTTAATTAATATTCTTCTGCGTTACAAATTAGTGTCATAATAAATATTATTATTCTATAAATCGCTATCAGTAGAATTTGTATTCATAACTTCCGCATTAGATTTATTTGAATAACGAGATCCATGAGTCATTTGATGATGGGATGACAATCTACCGAAAAGCAAATTACCAGTTAGTTGACGATTCTCGACCGCAAAGAAAAAAAGCCAAAATTCTTACGACACCTGATATGGAAACGCATCCGGCTTTGTGATGGGTGGAATATGATCTTTTTTTTCATTGACATAATTAATTATTTCCAATAGGCAACTGGAAAGTGTTTCAACTACCTTTTTACGGATATTTCTTTGATCTATGAAGACATAAACAAATCGTACGCAATGTAAATTATCGATTTCATTATACGCTTGCATAGAAGGTTAACTTACCCACTTCGGTCCTATATACAACCGATATTGTCACAGCCCATCGCTCCCAACACACTTCCTCCTCGGCCTTTGCAGTAAACCAGGAGGTATTTTTCTTTGGTCGTTTTTCATGAAACATGACTGCAATCTTTAATTATTAAAGGAGATTACGCTGTTCATTAAACCTGAAGCCCGCTGTCAATTCAATGCATATATAATCATTTGTCATATTAACAACCTGCCCCTTCTGTCCACCCTGACTTTCAAGATGTTTAACAAATTCTTGCACTTTCTCTTCCACGTTTCTTTCTAATTCTGCATCGTCTATTGCCGGCTGCATAGTAGCTGGCATTAGTTCTTTTGTCGGCGATATGTATATAAGCCAGAGAATCATACTTACGTATGTTAGATCTAGCAAGGTTACTTCCCGAGGTCTTATGTTTCCAAAGATTCGATAAAAAAGTATCGTATGTAGTATGGCTTTTGATAATGTGAGAAAATCAAGTAAGCGGCAAAGAAGCGCAGCGATGTGTAAGCAGTTGAATTGATCAAAACAAACCTCTTACGATATCCTTGACAAGTGATTTATCTACAGTCTTCAATTCTTTATAAGTATGTCCTTCCATATCGAAAAATTGTAATTAAAATGTTGTAAAATCAAATTTTACTCACCAGATTGATATCGAAGACTTCGGGTGCCATCGAAAAAGAAAGTCAAGTTTTGGTTGATCCGTAGCAATATTAAATATGTCATTTCTTGTACTACGGATCAGAAAAAATCAGTTGCGTCATGTCGTGTGTGACAGCCGTTTGTTTATCATGAACGAGCCGCGTTCAGCAATTCATTATTTACTTTATTTATTATAATTATATGATAACATGTGAACCAGTAATAACATTAATGCTAATTGTTTATGTGACTTAATAATAATGAAGGTTAGATCAAATTATGAAACATTTTCGCAGGACGCTTCAAACATGAAGTCAGAAGCAAGAAGGCGCAAGATCTTAATTGAAAAAAAAACTGAGCTGCTATACTTGACTACAAGGACAGAACTCTAAGGACAGGGAGAAAGGCCATTTCAAATTGAAATCTGTATGCAATATACACTCCAAGCCGAATAAAAACAAATAATTATCGTTTGGCGTTTTTATTGACGACTCCAAAATACAGAATACCTCGGACTCAATAAGCTTACACACTATCAATACGCGCACTTCCAATTGTTCATAAGTATCCGATTATTGATCACGCCCCTCTAGATACAAATTAAACCCATAAATTAACGTTCGCAAAGATAATCATTCAAATAATCTTAATAATCCTTTCGATTTTGAAACTTGTTGTATTACCGTAAAACTTTTCCAAGAACCCTGCCGGCTTTGGTCCAGCTTCTTCTTTCTCGAAATAATTCAATAGATGCGTGCTAAACTTCCAAAGATTCATAGTTTCTTGATACTCTGCTCAGCCTTTAAACAGCAGTACGTCAATCAGCCGTAGGTCATTTACATATCTATGTTTTTCAAACTCTTCCCGAATCTTTGCTCTAACTGCGGATGTTGGAATGTCGAGGTGGTATTCTGTTACTATCGTTGGGGCCTGGGAAGACTTACTAGTGAGCTAAGGTGCGGAGAGTGATAAATATAGCATTCAACCGACTTTGAAATCGTCTCGTACCGCCCGTTGCCAGTCTCTGTAGAGCGTCAACACCTTCTGACGAGCATTCTGATACGAGCCAGATGTGGCTGTTACAGCTGCAAGCCGTGCTGGTGTAATAGTCATACTGGAGTCAAAAGGGACAAACGAAAACGTTTATAAGATTGCTACATATTAAAATTTTGGGGCGCATTTCACAAAGTTTTCAGGGGCCGTAATAAAATTTCACAACTATATTTTTTATTCCCAATAGATAGCGAACCAGAGATTATACAAAATTAAGATTTTTGATCGTGAATAGAAACAGACATTATACAAATGTCATTTCTTTTGATTTCTCACTATCTTTGGCAGACTCAGATGACACATTTACATCCATTCACCATTAATAATTAATGACTTATACATGGGTTATCCAGTAACTACAATAAATAAAGCCTCTATCCGTTCACATACTTTTCCAGCTCATCCCATTCATCTTTGTTCAACGTCACCGTTCCGTAACGATTTCTCATCTGCGGAAGTACATCTCGTAGTTCGCTTATTTCATCCGTACTGAGTGACTTGCTGGAGTGTCTAAATATGGCAATTACTGTTTGGAGTATCTGTTGAATAGAAATAAGAGAGTATAAGTAAAGGAGCACAATGATACGCGTGCGCTGAACACTATGATTCTCATACTTTATCAGCAAGATCTTCATCTTGAGGACCATAAACTTTGAGTAGATGAATCAGCTGTCTTGCAAGCCCTTTCTCCTCAATCCTAGTAGCCACCATTTTGGGATCTTGGACAAGTAAAGTGTTGAAGAGGAAAGCCGCCTTCCTGAGAATAGACAAATCTTCAGATTGCAAGATAATTTGTCAGTAAATTTTCGTTTCTATGAAATACTATTTAATATGTGCTCGATGCAAATTCGTACCATTAGATGTATTCAGCACGTTTAATAATATTTCGTATCCACCTTCCTTCTCGAATTGGGCTAGGCCTGGTGGATAATGCTTTATAGTTCCTACGCAGACGTAAAGTCAGTCGTTTATAAACAATTGAACTAATATCAAATCATTCGACATTTTTACCTGATACAGCATATAATGCTTTGCTTCTAACCTCAGCATCTTCTTCGGGACTTTTCAGCACGTCAAGTAATCGTTTGAGCCCACCTTTGTCCACAAACTGGGGAAAGATGTAATATTAGTCGGGTCAATAAGCCTTGTTGAACCAACTTCCACGTTACTCACAGCCTTCTGAGCTCGCGGGTTATTCTGCACAGCTGTGCCACACACCCAGGCGGCATATAATCGCAAGGACTTCTCCTTAAAGTCAAAGAATGACAAAATTTTGGGCCATAGATTCATGTTGTCAATGTCTATAGAAACAACAAACCGTCATTTAAACGTCCCATGTATCCAACATGAGATATGGTATACATTCATCAGACTCACCAATTGCATTATCTATTTGTTCGACTAACTACGCAAGTCAAAGAAAGCAGACGTTTAGGAAAGAATGTATGAACATTACATCGACAAATTACAAGAGGATAAGTTTTTACCATCTCTAAATTATCAAAAGCAATCTCTTTATTAGCTAATGATTCATTTGGGTCCGAAATGCAATCAACTGCATCTGTAACAGATAATTACATAAGTAAAAGTATCATACTACTCATGGTGAGTTAACCAAACAGTTCATCTTACTTCTAATTTCGACAGCGTCGCTTCTACCAAGAATTGCATCGATAATACCACTGTCCTACACGTTTATCATAAAATTTAATCGCAACACATTTTTTTTATTCGAGAAATATTAATGAACACGTTCGTCTATCAATCATACACACAAAGTTTCGCTCCTGTCCATCATTTTGCGCAGGGTTAGAAGGGTCGGAGTGCGTCACTCCCCATTCCAGTAATTGTTCCATGTCTGATGATATTTTGTATAATACAAATCTTCAAAAACACAAGTGGCAAAAACTATGGACTTTTATATCTTTGCGCAGGCTAAATCTGGTGAGTTCTCGAATGATCTTTTGGTTTACACCATTAAAATTAGTCAACAGATAAGGATCGACGCCATGTGACGATCACTGGACAACCTTGTTCTTTTTTGGTAATCCTTAAAACGAGAAAGAAACTTTTGTATATTTTTACAATTATTTCGACAATGGACAAGATGACTAATATCGAGCAATCTCGGGAAAAGTAAGCATCGATCAATTAATTAATTTCGTTTATAAGATGCTCATGGTTCTATACTGACAGTTATATATAGCTCAACTGCCGATTCATTAGACGTTCCTAACGAAGAGGGTGAAGAAGCAGGAGAAAATGATGAGCATTATGAAGAGGATATTCAGGCTTTAAATGAATTCGAAACTTTACTTGAATCAAAATCAATTGGGGATCTTAATGGAACTAAAACTGGATTGGTGAGAAGTATTTATAAGATACCGGATTGTATATGTAGTTTGAGGTTGATTAGATTGGTAATCTTTCCGTAGACATTTCAAGTATTATATGACCTGATCGAGGAAATTACCACGGATGTAATTATTGAGACACATAAGGAAGCAAAATTAGCGGCAATGGCATGTCAGAAATGTGGAGTAAAGTAAGTTGTGATGATATACGGCGTATTGCGATGTTTACTTACTTATTATGATTTATCATGTCTTCCAAAAATCTGATCTCATTAGTTGTCGATGCTATGGCAAGTACTGATGCTGAATCCATGTTGTCTTTATTTGCTTATCTGAACACTCCATTGACTATTACTATCTGCAGTCACTCCGCCAGGTGTAGATATCTTTGGCAATAATCCGCAACCAGCTTCCAATACGCCTGTGTACGAATGCGTCAATTGTCACAGACCATACCCATCTGCTCGATATGCGCCACATTTGGAGAAGTGTATGGGATTGGCTGGGAGAATATCCAGTAGAGTAGCTAGCAGAAGGTATGTCATATGTACATGTGATATAATATATCATGTGATGAATAGAATTATATTAAGAAAGTATGAATTGACAATAATTACAGAATTGGAGCCGACAAGAGTCCAGCTTCTCCATCAACTCCGCTTACATATTCAGAAGACAACGCCAATTACAGTGAATCTGATTCAAGTTATGTTGATAAAAAACGTAAGTAGTTTTTAGAATTGTCATTAGATAGGAACATATCATTTGAGTATGCTTCATCTAATACTCACGTGCTGCTAACCTCAATTGCAGGAAAGAGAGTGAATGGAAGATCAAGGGTAAACCTGTTATTTGCTATTTATGTGTTGATAACAATAGGTAACTGATCAGCCTTCGGTGGTTTGCTATAGGCCTCATCACCGGCGAGATTTGGAAAGACGAAGCAGAAAAAATCAAATGGTAGTTACTATTGTCTTGTATGCTTTGAACATGAACTTTTCAATCACAACTAATTGTTGTCTGTTGTTTGTCTGCATCCTTAGCGACAGACGCTAGCAGTCAATCGGGGTTATATGGAAGTGTAATGAAGAAAGTAAGTTTCATTATCTTGTTGACTGAAATCTTTTTCAAGTCCCAGAGGCTCGAACTCTTACTTTATATTTAACTTGTTATAATAGCTGAAATGTAAACTATCGATTCACCAAATCTTCGGCCACGTTGTTTTTATCTGTAATCATCTTTTTTGACATCTTTAATGTTACATAGTGCTCAGTTCAAAGAGGGCTTCTTCAGCTTCCACTAGTCCTGCACATTCGTCAGCGGCAAGTAGTCCGCCCCATGGACCATCAACTTTACGATATTCGATTTCTCTTCCACTTGAGAGTGAGCTCGAGAAAACTTCCTTGTCATATACGGATCTTGACTTGGATGAGACACTTGGGTATGCAGCCACCAACTAAGATGGAACTATATCAATTGCTAGTGAATGATGCAATCATCATCTAATCATTCTGATGACAAAATCGTTTCTTTCATCAGAAACCCAATAACGAACGAGAATTTTGACGAGTCGATAATATCATCACCAGCAACTACAACTACACAATCATCTATGGCTGACAATGAGGATATAATTGATATTGATGGTGACGATGATACACAACAGGCATCAAATAGAAGATATAGATATACAAACGCTATGCTTAACAATACTGAAAATCATAAGCACTAGAACTAATGCATTGTAACATTAATACCATAGAATGATAATAATATCAACAAAATTACTAGATAAGGGATTGATGTCTACTATACTTAAAATTTAGCATAAACTCTGTAATTTAAGTCTATTTTAGTATGTTGTAGTGTGTTGTTGACATGCTTATTTCCCTTGAAGTTGAATTCAATATGAATAAGAAAAGTAAGTCTTTACTATGCATATCATGTCCCATACAGGTTCAAGTCCCAAAGTCAGGCCGAAACCTGACCCTCTGTTAAATATTTGAGCGAGATATTCCTGGCGCCGTTCACCATTTCCACACGTCTTTTATATGTACTCTTACGCGCATTCAATGACCTTGCTACCCCGAGAACATCCGAAACCTGAAATGCGACCAAGTCAGCATTGCACGAGCTGTCTTCGATCGAATCTTTATCAATTGATGTTAATACAAAAGACGTTCGAACCTGGGTAAAATAATGATCTCGTAATTCTGACATAACCAATGGGGCCAGTTGATGATGACACTCATTGATCAAATTATGGATTCATTGCATGATTCGTATCATCCTTTTCCTCAATCGAAATCTCTTCATCTTGTTTGTTGTTCCCAGAGCAAGATCTTTATCACTCTGTAATTTATCGTATTTCTTGGATAATTGAATATTTTGGTTATCACTGATATCCAAAGAAACGCAAATACACAATGCTCACGCATTTTTAAATACTGACTGGTTTCTAAGATCAATCTTATCGACATGAGAGCGCGGCCAGATAGAGAAATTAAATAACGTATTTAAATATTAATATGCAAATTGGCGAGGACGCGAAAATCCTGTCACTTAATGTAACAGCAAATACTGTAGTGTTGTGTCAACATCTACTATCATGTGATGTGCCCTTTATTTTGTTTACCGGTATCTGTAACTCCAATTAATCGTGTAACTGTTATTAGCATTAGATTTATTAAATAATCTATAACTACTTTTACAAGAACATTGCCAAACTCATGTTCTCGCAAGTAATTTCAGCGCTAACTCTTCTTGGTCTTCAAGCGTCTCGGGCTCTTTGATTTCAACCACCTTCTGCTTTTTCCGTGGATTACTATTTGTACGTCTCTCCTCGCCTGTATCACTATTACTACTCTCATCGCTATTCCTATGAATGTCATTATCAAATGTCCTTTTTAACCTCTTGTTATGATTCATCTCGTCCATCTCATTTTCTACAGACTCGGCATTCTCCCATTCACCCATTGTAGCGTCCTCGTCGCCTGTAGCTAGAGTAACGGTATCGCTCTCGGCCAGTGCAGCCCTGCCTTTCGCTTTTTTCTTTAACTTCTTTTCTTTTCGTTTTTCTTTGGCCAACAACCTGTCTTTGATATCTTCATTTTCCATTACTTGTAGCTCTTTTTCAACAAACGTCTTTATTTGCTCGTTAGATGACCCAACAGCGCGAAAATCTTGCTCATTTTGGAATTCATAAACGTCATGCGGCTATGAATATATGGTTATAGGTTAAAGTACTGACAATGGGAACATATGCAGTAAAAATCCCAAATTTAAATATCTTACATCGCCGCTATCATCAAATATTATTTTACGTCCTCGTGGAGCGTTCTTAATGGACTGTTTCTTAGACAGAGCTCGTGCTGCAGCACGATTTGATTGCGGGCCTTTGTTCTATAGTTGGGCAAAATTTTTAATAATGTGGCATTTCGTAGACATTAACATGACGGATATTACTCACTTCTACCAACAATTGTTCGGGTAATTCGTGATCAACTCTTTTCACAGAAAGAACATCGTCTCCTCCACCCTCCTCATTTTCCAGTTCAACGAGTTTCCGATAGTGATCACTTAATACGTTTCGATTCTTACGCCTCATCATCCTCTCAAACTTTGTCAACGGTTTTGATTGTTGTTTTGTTTTATCTTTCTCGTTGTCAGAAAATGGTTCATTATCATCAGCAACGGTATGACGTTTTAAGCTATATTCCGCCAAAGTCTCAACTTCACTGTCAGAGTCTAAACCAGGAACTTTCTCCGGTTTTTGCCGGATGGCATTCTTGGCGTCCGACTTCTATATGAGTATAAAACGGTTAATTGTTATGACATTGGACGACCGATATTCTTAATCTCAGGTTAGCAAGACTCCGACTTACTTTATAGAATTTGAGTTTAGGAGTGCCAGGTAATCCTAGAGCTGCAGCAAATTCTTCCGCGGGCAATTCATTTACTTTGAAGATTGATTTATCCCGTTGTAAATATACAGACCTCATGTATGATACAAAGGCCTACAAGTAAAAGATCAATTCGATATGTTTCAGTCTCTTCCCTATATCTTTCACATCCCTTTCTTCTTTCATGCCCAAAACGCTCACCTTTTGTCCAAGATATTTAATTTCCGGATTCTTAAAGCATAAAACCTGCATCTGCTGTCTTACACTGGTTTTCATTTTTTCTCTGACTTCAATTTCGTCAATCGGTACCTTCTTCTGCATTAACACTTTCAACATACCATTCACCTCTGACGGCAACAGAAACAGTAACGCCTGTCCCGATGCATCATATCTAGCTGTCCTCCCTACGCGGTGTATATAAGTTTCCCCATTCTCCGGAGCATCGACCTGAATTACCCAGTCAACTGCCGGAAAGTCTAAACCACGTGATGCAATGTCGGTAGAAAATAAACAAGAGGAACTAGACCGCATGAATCCATTGAAAATTTCTACTCTTTTGGACTGCTTTTGTTTCCCATGAAGATGGAGAAGCGATATGCCTGGACGAAGTTTACGGAAAGTTTCGTACACAAAGCGGACCTTTGTTGTAAAGAACATAGTTAATAAAACTGTGGTAAAAAAAAACTTTTAGTCGCAAAGAAGTTGTTGGACATGCCTGCTTGCAACTAGACAGAAACACGAGAATTTTTGCATCAAGATGCGTCTTAATGAACGAGAAAAGAAAATCCAACTTTTCTGGCAATTCGCATATTAAATAATGTTGTTTTAAACGTTTAGGTGTTGCGTGCTCGGATAATTCATCCACTGAAACATACTCCGGATCCTAATAAATCGATGGTCTTATTAAATTAATACAACGTTAATTACATCGATCTTAATACAAATATAATTTACAATAGCATACCGTCAGACTGAGCCTAGCGAGATCTTTGACATCTTTGGTTTGAGTGGCAGAGAATAATAATGTCTGTCTTTCTTTTGGTAGATTTTCTATAATAGCATTGACAGTCTTGCGGAATCCCATATCAAGAATTCTATCTGCCTCATCCAGAACTTGCAAATAAACCATTAAATTAATAATATTCCAAGCACTTGATTCACTTACAATACGAGGAAACAGAGCCATTATAATTGAAAAACTTTACTTTTTTTCAAGTACTCACCTAACATTTGCAAATTAGCGCAATCAAATCCAACGGTCTGGTCCATGTGTTGTAGCAACCGTCCGGGAGTACATATCAATATATTCATTCGTTGTATCCGTTCCTGCTCGATTCGCACATTTTTGCCACCAATTATCAAACCGGCAGAAAATGAATGTTGACAACCGACTTTACGAAGCACCTCAAAGATTTGAACTGCCTATATCAATGAAATAGTAAGCCTAATGTGAAGAAGAAACGGATCGGTCAACGAACAGATCATGATTATTGGCAATACCAACTCGCGAGTAGGAGCAATGACCAAAGCTCCTAAACCATCAAGTTGAGACCAGAGACGGCGGTAAAGGATTTCAAGGATCTAAACATTAAGTGTGTAATTTAGCAGGATAGATCAATACGCATAAATTGTTTCGGATCACTTACAGGAATGAGAAAAGCCAATGTCTTCCCACTGCCTGTCTTGGCAGCTCCCAAAACGTCGCGTCCTTTTAGTGCGAGAGGAATAGCATGCTGCTGTATACTTGTCAGATCAGTATAATTTGCCTTGGTAAGACCTCGCAAAGTCTGTTCCGTGATCGGTAATTCTGAAAACTTTATTATTTCGTCTTCGATTGACTATATTAAACGACAATTAGTAAGACATTCAAGCAATAATAATAAAATGACATCGCATATTGCATACCAAAGCTTGACATCGATTTTCTAATTCCTCAATTTCTTTTAATTCTTTTTGCAGCCGCCCTTTTCTCGGTTTTTGTGAGTGTGACTTTACTTTAGGCATGTTTTATTATTACAACAACTGACATTTTTTACATTCCAGCACCCAACATTTTTTTATTCCTTGCACGTGATAGTGATCAACAGAATTTTGACAGCGCGTGGATATTAACTGAAACGGAAAGAACGCTTAGAAACGTGATTTTGCCGGCAATAATGTGGGGATATACACATTCACGGAGGGTTTTTTGCATTATAGAGAGTGAAATACTATAAGCTTGTAACAGAACCAGAGCTTGCACTTAGAGAGAAACATATGGCGATTGCACGGAAAACCGATTTGTCATGACAGCTCGGCCATAAACAATAAACATGCGCAACGAACCATTGTCCGCATACTCGAAGACCATCAAGTACCTTCTTCTGGTGAAAGATTTGAAAGAATAATCGTAAATCTGTTTTCGTTTAAATGCAATATATTTTGCTATTACGCTGAAACTTGCATCTACATTCACTTAGTATCTATGGACTTGAAACCTTGTAATTTATTCAACATTAATATCCAAATATAAAGACTTCTCCTCTAACTTCCATATAAATGATATCAGTAAATATGACTTCTTTATACACTCAAGACAAAAAGTTTGACTTCAGTAATTAGATTTCCTTTCTAGATTACGTTTCGTCTCAACGACTCCCGAATTCTAAATATTCTGCCATCACTAGCTGTCTTTCCATTGTGAACTTCGCGTCTTGCTGACGATGGTCTGATCCCGCGATAAAGATATAACTCCGGCCAAAATGACTAATAGCTATGTCACACAGTTGAGGTCGTCAACCAGGAAATCATTGGGGTCATTGCCTCTCTCGTTCGAATGATAGGTAACTTAATATCAAGCATAGGTCTAGCATCCAGTTTGCTCTTCAAGTTTTAATTACATAGAATACCGGCCATCGCTTCACTGACCGCTCTTTGTATTTCACGCGGTTGCTTTTCTCCGCATTTACGATAGCATTGACTATGAGAGACGTTCATTTCACCGACAACCATCTCACCGACAAATTTTTGTCGGCGAAGTGGTTGTCAGTGAACCAAACCCATTCGTGGAATCGACTACTTGCGTATTTGTCATTTCCATGAATATCGCATTGGAGATTTCGAGAGCGGATAAGAGCGCTATAGCCTGTCTGTTCAAATAGGCAGGTAAACGTTTCGACGCTCTTATGATTTCTAGCGTACGTCCAACTCGGCCGTGCTTGGATTTGCTTCGGGGCATGTACCCATTTCCAAAGATACTGCTAAAAAGAGGAAATCTTGACTGTCGCGTGAGCCTCGAAAAGTTACGGACGCAGAAATTTCTCCTCAATTTGCACAGATCGAAACGGCCTCGAACGGCATCATTTTCGTACCCTCCCAAAGGCCAATGTCCGGTGTGCAAAGTATGGTGAAAGGGGTTGTGGCCGTTTTATTTGCAATATTCTTGCCATTCATTGCTAATAGCTCGGAAGCTAGAGTGAACCCGGGATTGAGCCTTAGTCCTCTGGACGGGGAATCCAAGAGCAATGACAGGGGCATATGACATAGATTGCGAGAGGTTGTTGTGCTGGATAAAAGCTAAATTTTACACACCACATCGCGGACACAGAAACTGATTCATCAAAAACGCGTTACGCGCTAGACCCGTGACTTGTAGAACAACAAAAATAGATGAAATATCAAACTCGATATTACTATATAACCTCCAGACTTTGTGACGCAGAGTCTACTGGTTCTTGAAAATAATGGATCTATTTCATATCGTGCTACCACTTCATACAAAATAAAAACTTCGTCAGTTTATCTTGATCAATTTGTAAAATTAAAATTAATTCAAACGAAAGCAATTCCTCAGCCACATCAGCCATTTATCAAATGGGGCAGACTGCAGACAAAATGAACAGGGTGACTGATGACGTTTTGAAAAGTAATAACAGTGTTGTTAATTTTAATGTTCACTTTATCAAACCAGAATGTGATGAATATAAACCATAAAATTATCTATATTAATATATAAAAATATTAATGAAATTAATTTACATTAAATCCACTATGGAATCCAAGAATTACAGCACTATTGGAAGCGCTATACGTTTTTAAAATTAATGATACTCAAACTCTCAAGAAAAAATCACTTATGAAATTTATCAAAAGGAACGGAAAATCATAGCTACCAAACGAGCATTAATGCCAACACATGAAGAAAAACGAAAACTTGAAGAAAGTAAAGGGAAGCAGTTTAACGTAAAAGGCCTCCACTGATCGAACGACCTATAAACAAAGATCATTCTTTAGTCATGAAAAAAAAGCATCGATTAAGCCACTGATCAGTGTTAGTATATCACGGTATTAGATCACGTCGCGCAGCAAGCATCATCTTTCCGCCGCAGAATCAACCATGATAACCATCGAGGGAAAAAGTAGCCGAAGTTGAAGCTAAAGTGAAGAAATTGAAGGCGAGCTTGGGTTTAAGAAGGGAAAGGACTTCCTTGTGCCTTTGTATAACGTTCTAAAAGAACTGCAAAAGCAGAAGACTGCTCAAGTCGCTCAGTCAGGTAATAACTTTGTGACTCGGGCGTTGGGGATAGTAATAAGCACACGTTCTGGTGTCTAACTTATGCATAAAAGAAGCAAACAATTTATTTTATTATTCTATACTGAATTGATAGATAAGACTTGCAATGTAAAAATTTCACTTGGAAAAGACTCAAAAATTGTTCCGATCAATATAAAGAAAGCAAATCAAACCCCACTTGATTATTTTGTAGATCTGGGTTTCAATCACTTGGAGTAGCATGTAGAAGTAAATCTTAGAATAAGAGGAGAAGATACGGTTGTGACAAATGATACCTTGTTGACAGATAACTTGCTCAATACCGAGAAAATACCCATAGTAATCTTTCGATCATAGTAAACTTGTTTTCTCAAACATTAATATTGATATAGAAATGGTTAAAAAACTTTTTTTTTTCCAGGGTTACGCGCTTTTTCCAGCTATACATTCGTTGAAGTTTCTGAACTGTTGCATCTTAACGCCGATACTATGAATGAACTTCCAGTATACGAACAAGGTTAGTGATGTTGACAGGGTACAATGATTTTCCTATTATCATTATTACAAAGGTAAATGAGCTTAATAGAGAAAGCAGACATGACTGAAATAGAAGACGCTATTGATGAAACTGTCAAGGAATCTCAAGATCAGCTATTTTGGACCTTTTTAGTAACTGTAGAACGAAATGTTCAATGATTTTTTTATCAGCGTTTGCATAAGGCATATTAATATGGTGATGTTTCTGGGACAAACGAAGCTTCATACGCTGTATTTATAAGAACCGTTCTAGTTGGAATTTTTAACATCTACGGATCGGATAAAGATTACCTGCTTTTTGAACAAAAACCATTCATGGGAAGATATGGAAACGAGCCCATTGACAAAAATTAAATTATACTCTCTTAAAATTGCAAAAAGAATTCAGAAATACTACTTATTATTATACTTGTAATTTTTGTTCTAGTTATGGGAAAAATAACAACTCTGTTAACCAAATAAGGAGTCGTGTTAAAGTTAATGACAAGTATGTTGGTGTTAATAGGAATGTAAAAAAAATTGAGAATGATGAATTACTTAATACTAATACTAGAAAACGAAAGAGAAGAAGTAGCCAAATTTCAAGAGAAATGTAAAGAATGAAGTAAAAGACAAAACAAGAGTTATTAGACCAGATTAAACAATTAGAAGCAGAGAATGACAACTATAAAGAAGAAGTCAAGAGATTAAAAACTCAGTTAGAACAATTAACTTCTCAACATATTGCTCAAATTGAAGTTAAAGCAAATAAGAAATAACATTGATTAAAATTAAGAAATAATTATTATTTTAAAATACTAATACTTCTAATGGTGCTGTAATTCTTGGGTTCCATGGTCGATTTGATGTAAATTAGTTTCATATTAATATTTTTTTATATAGAGATAATCCTATATTAATATATATTAATTTTACATTCTGGTATGATAAAGTGAACTTTAAAATTAACAAGTCCATAAGTTATGAATGAGCACTGTTATTACTTTTCAAAACGTCATCAGTCACCTTGGTCAATTTACAGCCACATCATAATTAGCCCTCATTTCAGAATGTTCACTTTGTTTGGTTTTGTTGCAGTCTGCCCCAAATGTTGGTTCACCAGACGAGTTTTAATCAATTTTTTATCTTCAAAAGCAATTAAAAAATATTGTAAAAAGCATTTAATTCATTCAGCTAAATTGACTACCTTTTTATTTTTGCCATATTGTAATTGTGGGTCAGTTTTTCCCTTCTATTATATGACGATAATGTATCTGATCCTTCCACATATTTAAATATACCATGTACTTTCTCTCATTATATTCAATTTCATCACTTATAGCAGTAGTAGCCACTATCTGCCCAGTCCCATTCATTCTTTCCATAAAATCCCACAATGTCGTACGTTTGTCTCCATCTATTGGCATTGCTTCACTTGCACTAGCTCCACATATCGCAGCCCCAATTACAACACTAGCCTCAACATACTTTGGCAGAACAACTGGACACTTAGTAGCATCAGCCATTGTCTTTACAAAAAGCTCATTTTTGCATAATCCTCCAGACATGTACAAATATTTAATATTATGTCCCGAGTTATTCATAGCTTCAATAATATGACGCGTTCCGTACCCAATAGATTGCAATGTAGAATAATAGAGTAATGCAAGTGCATCAAGAGAGACATCAAGTGTCAATCCAACTATTGCTCCACATAAAGTTGGATCTGACAATGGACTACGATTTCCATGGAAATCAGGATATACATGAAGATCTTTGGTGAGTTTTGATGAGAATGGTAAGTTCTGCCGTTTCTGTAAAGTATTTATGTGTTCATTTAACAGATCGTAAATAGAAATTCCTTTCTCATCAGCCAACGTTTTGGCTTGAATGCTAAATGGATGTGTATCAATAATCCAATCTATTAGCTTTCCAGTAGCAGACTGTCCACCTTCATTTAACCAATGACCTCTTAGCAAAGCGTCTCTATATGGACCCCAGACTCCATCAACAAAAAGCGGTCTATTTATCATGAGAATGTGACAAGATGATGTACCGGCAATCACAGCTAGTCTTTGTTCCATAAGAATATTACCACATTCTCCCGGTATCTTTGCCGCTAATGTCCCGACTATCCCAGCATAAGCGTCAATCAAACCTGAGCTGACTGGAGTACCTTCAAGTAGTCCAAGTTCATTAGCTGCGTACTGACTCAGCCCTGCAACCTTCTGGCCAGCAGAGAATATTTGAGAAGTGCTCATGCGGGAATAGTTTTCATTAATGAATTCCGCGAGTCCAATTGACTGGAAGAAGTCATCATGCCAACCTTGTTGGGGTGATACAGAAGTATCTGGCGGAACATATCCACACTTGCATGCTAATGAACATATTGAACGGGATGCATTTCCAGTTGCACGATACGTTAAAAAATCTGAAAGGAAAAGTAGTTAAAAAAATTATAAATTAAAATAACGCGACGATATATTCGATTGCATGCAAATCCGAAAATCACTGAAAAATTATACCTGGCAAATCAAAAAAAGACCCAATCTTGTTCCATCTTTCCTGTAAATTTTCCTTTATCCATAAAATTTTAGGAAGTTCCATTTCAACACTAACTTTACCCCCTACATATTTTAAAACTTCATGATCAGTAGCATTAATCTTATCGGCCTGCTTTCCCGCTCTATGATCTGCCCAAAGTATAATATTTCTATGATTTTCGCCATCACTACTTTCGGGATCAATGGAAATTGGTTTCCCTGATCTATCCAGCACTACTAACGAACAAGTTCCATCAAATCCAACCCCTTTGATGTTTGCTGGCTTAAGTCCTGACTGCGCCATTGCTGCTTTGGCAGCTAGACAGACAGACGACCAAATATCTTCACTTGATTGCTCATAATAGTTAGCGCGAGGATTCCATAATTGGATGTCGTTAATAGCAAGACCACAGATAGTTCCTGAAGAATCTATGATTGCAGCTCTGGCTGAGCCTGTACCTACGTCGATACCAAGATAATAAGGAGTCATTTGAAAAATATTAGACGTATATAAATTTATGCGGCTCAAGTATATAGTTTGGTATTGTGATCACATCTTCACGTGATATTAATATTTTGTTGCACACACCTTTGCACTAAATCATTTTGCATTTTACAATCTGCTTGTCAAACAGTTGTACTTAGGACAATCGACTATAGTTGTCATATGTGACTTCCAAAAATGTGCGCTTCTGGTTCCGAGGTAGGTGCTGAGAAATATTTGCGGATTGTAAAGATTAGAGGGGTTCCTGAGTATGATGGCATACGCCCCACTCGCGAAAATGCTTGTATCAGATTAAGTGAATGTTCTGTCAAATCATCAAGCCATACATAGTTCAAAAGGCATCTTCTTATGGCGTACTCGTAAAGAATTCATGGTTCGATCTCAATATAATTACTTTTCCTATCCAAATAATGTTAGCGTCTTTTATTCCAGTGATTAGTTATTACTTCTATATAAACATGGCTAGAATACAATGATTGATTATTAAGAGTCAATCGACTATGGTAGATTATTGGCTTGATTGTCCCCGACTTTCTATTAATTGTTTATAAATCCCCTCTTTCACCCGTCGAAATTCCTCCAGCCTACCAGCGGCATACGGCAGATACTCAAATGGTATCTGACTCTGGTAGTGTTGGAGAACTCCCCACAGTCCCCACAATACATGGCTTGTAAGTGAGAAGACATCGCACTCTAATCTCCTCTGTGCCAATTCCACTTCTATTTTGTCGTTTCTTGATTTCTTTTCGACCTCGAGGTAGGCGCGGAGGAAATTGTTCTGTTCGAGGATTGTAGGGTAGAGGTCGGGCTTCATTTTATGCGGTTCCTCCGAATGATAATCATACGCCCACTCGCAAAAATGATTTGCGAGGTCGAAGCCGCGGTAGTTATAACCACTATATTCGAAGTCTACTATTACTAGTTCGTTGGTCCCGTCCGTAAGGCGGAGAAAATTCCCGCACTGTGCCTGTGATATGTTGAAGAGATCGAGACTTAATATTGGCAAATATCGAGATAGAAACAACGTATACAACAAAGTATACTTACGTCGTTGTGAGAGAACACAATCGGTGAATCTAACATATCAACATAATGCCTAAGCTCATTGATCTCGTCCCGAAGGGCGTCCAAATTCAGTATCTCGATACTCGCCTCTCTCATTTCAGTGGTCGTCAGCTTGACGGCTATGTCGTACCACTTGTTTATGTTCGCCCACACTTCAGGTACAACGTCCTTGGTTGAGGGTCCAGGAACGTTCGAATGAAGCCGTGCTATTAAGCGAGCAATTTGGCGAGAAGTTTCTTGGTTTCGTATATCTTGGTTGGTGAGGGTCCGTGAGGGCAGAAATTGTTCCACCCTACCATTCTGAAATAAGGCCAAGATCGAAGGCCCGATGTTGAGCGAACCCAGCATTTCGAGGAACTTAAGTTCCCTTTCTCGGTCTATAACCTGGTCAGCTCCAGTTCCGTATACCCGTAAGAGAATTTTTCGAGGTGATGCCTTCGGTGTCTCTGTCAAAGCAGTGACAAAGAAAACACTATTTGTCAGAGCACCCGAAACTCTCTTTATTTCAGCGGTTTTGACATCAGACCAACCGGGTAAAACATTCCGTAAGAAGGAGAGAATGTCATCGGTATTTTCGGGGTTTCTAACGTAATTAAGAAGGAAGATTAGAGGCAATCGAAAGGAAAGAACGGATACAGTACAGAATGAAACTTTTTAGGAAGTGAAAAGAGATAGAGGAAGGCAAGTGGTAATACATAAAGTGTAATATGTAGCGATACCTACGTTAATTCAAGCGCATTATCGCTTCGTGGGATCTCCCCACGTTTGCGTCTGGAAAGCATTGATAGTTTCTTGCGGAGAAATAATACTAACGGCAGGGAGATGAAGCTGACAGTTATGAGAGATATCGAAATCTTGTTATTGAACTTTGCCATGGCGCTGGGCGAATTTAAGCCTACGGACAATGGCATACAAGGTTTTTATATATGAACGAACGGGGTCGGCCGAGTAGTCACACAAATGATCACCAATGTTAATATAAGTGCCATTTCTGGTTGGGGGTATAAATTATGTCTTCTAAAAAGGAAAGGCGCACATCTATGTTTATGTTGTGTAAATGTCACTGCACGATGTTGATTACAAACAAACACATTATTTTATTTCCAAGATAACTCTTTTACTATCTCACACTCCGCATTGAATACGTGAGGTAGTACAGAAACAAGTTCTGCCATCATAACCAAGAACTGCCGGCGCTATAAGCGACATCTCTTCAGTTAATTCATTCAATTAGCCCAAAGTGACCACTTTGCTCATTAGATAAATGGATAACATAATTATTACTGCCAATGCGGAAATCTGAAATCAGTAACTTATTTGATTAAATCGTCACTTTGATTATTGACTATATATTGGTTTAAAATGTTATCAAAGTAAGAATAGTAGTAATGTAATTATAAACTTTTTTATCAAGCAGCATAATAATAACCCATTGCAAGCTTAGTTAAAATAAATTCGATTTATAACGTTAATTTGTCCGACTTAAAAAAGACTTTTTTTTTTGCCGTCAAAATCGTAGCATTTGGAGGGTTTATTATTTCTACCGTTGGGTGTATAAATTTTGCTCCTATTGGCATTACTATGTTTGTGCTGATAAAAAGGAATTACGTCCTAAAAAGAGCGAACATTGATTGATACTAGCAGCACAAACAATAACGCTTGAATGCAATGGTATGCGTGAAGACGTTTATTGTAACAATAGATTTACCAATGTTGATCTCACAGGACGAGAAGCGTTTGTAAACACTAGTGAGTGAAGATCGGCATGGTTACAAAGGTTTGTATGTGATGCGTTATGTACTCTATTGCCAAAAGTAGCTAAACAGAGCATTAAGTTTTAAAATTAATGCCCAAACGTTAGTATGATCCCACCAAATTTGGGAAGATCACTAATGGCGCATTAATGAAAATTTTTAACCGTTTGTGTAAAAGAAGCTGTTCTATTCGCCACCCTATTTGTGTATCCTCATGTGGGACAAAAGAAAATCAGGGACATAAAAAATGTCGGTTGGATAACTCCGTTTGTATCACGATGATTGTCTGCCCAACTTTAACCTGCGGGACGTTTGTATCATTCGAATAACTAATAGAATCGTCTGTGTTACCATGCTTCAATAACGGCAAATTAATTCCTAAGAACGGACACATCCTTTGCCGTCCCATTCCATCTGTATCATTCGAAACGAGCGAAAATAAAGACGTTTAACAAATTGGAATGTCTTTAATAAACATTGTGGTTGACAGCACAGAGGCTGAGAGTGAGAATTCAGACAATCATTTAATAGAAAGTGAGTAAATAATGAAGGTATATTCGACCACCATTATACAACTCCCGTCCTATTAATTAACATTATATGCTGCGTATATTAACTCAGAAGATAATACTATTCCACCAGGGCACGAAGGTAATTAATGTTCATACCTCTCTTGACTTGATTCTGATCGTCGTTTCCTAATTCTCATGTCTTATTACAATGCAGAAATCTACGAGACAAGTAAGGTCTTGGGAAGAGCCTATAGAGACAAAGAGACTTTCTATGCTCGGGTAAAGATATTAGAGAATCAAGATGAACGGTGAGTGAAACTGGGTATTCATTAATCACTGACTTTCTAATCAACCTAACTAACTAAAAATTAAAGTGGCATCGTTGTAGGCGTTGTGGAGTGTGATAGTAAACCTGACAAGAAAGTTATTAAAAAATTCGTTGACATTGGTCTGTAGTTTCCCATTGTTCCGATCTCATAGTCCGCTCACATCCCGCTAATGTCGCTATTCAACATTTTGATAAATGCAGGACTCGGATGGGAATATTATAGTGATGGAACTATAAATGATGGAAAGAAAGAGGAATTCAAGGATATTCCGTATACGAAAGGCGACGTTATTGGATTCGGTGTAGGCATTTATGATGATCAAAGACTGTTCTTTATCGAAAACAACAAAGGATACGTTTTCTGTACGTAGTTACATAATCGATTGAATCATTACATACTATTCACAATCCATATTAACTAAAAATTTAATTTGACAAAGCCTTTTCTCTGCTTAGAGAAAACCGCCCGCTATATGCATATGTGACATGCAACGAAGGCTCTAAAGTGGATGTCGAGTTTCAAACATATACAAAACCACTACCGTATCCAACTTTCGTGCATACATCACAGATTGAACGTATGGCCTTATCATCCGATCATAAGTACGTTGCGTTATACAGTACGAATGATACAGTTGTCTCTATAAGTGAGGTTGATTTCGTGTCGCCATCAAAGCCAAAGCTTACCCCACTGACGAGGTTTAGGGCTGACCAAGAGTATGGCATTGTATCAAGATTTAGGACTGAAAAACATTCTATTGCTATGGGATATTTTAAAGATCTTATCAATGCCGAATTGTCGAAATTTCTCGATCGTTTCGAAGGATTTAAACAAAATTGGCACAAAGACAATGTTACAATTGCAATATCTAAAGCATGTGGTGGAAGAGTTCATGTCTTTATTAAACTGGATAAAGAACTGGTGAATGCATCAGTCGCATGTAATCAACAATTTATTGATGGGCAACCAGTGCCAGGCGTACCATCTCTTGCTACGATTTCAAAAAAGGCTTTATGTGCAGAAATGTTGAGTGATGGTGAAACATTAGTATGGATTGAAGAACAAACTAAACAGAGCAAAAACGCAGTACGTTTGCAATGCCTTTCAAAACCTTCTGCAGAAATACTCATGTATATAGGAAAGCTTGCCACTGTACGTGCAGCCCCTTCTCAGAAAGGTGAAAGTGGAACTGAGATAATTATCTATGGCGATGGTCCTCAGAACGTAGCACATTTAAGATATAGCAGCAATGGTGACCTCGTCCAGACCTTTCATCCAGTTTTCTATGACGACGTTGTCTGTAGGCAAAGAACAATGATGGCCTTTTATTCACCTGAGAAGGATCTTCGAATCTTTGACATTGAAACGGGAATTCTATTATCGAAAATTAAATTTGGCTATAACCTTCTTGGGTCAGTTTACTTTTTACATGGAGTGGAACATTTAGTCACTGTCCATTATAACTCGTCAAAGAAAGCTTTTGAACTGAACAATTATGATCCATTAACTGGCGAAATGTTGTCCAATCCGTACATGGAATCTTCATCTTTTGAAGGCAAAAATACTGAACTCTCTGTAATGATTCAAACTGTCACCGGCAAGTTTTATGTAATTGAACCCACCGGTACTACCGTCACAACGCATTTGATCAATAAGGATACTATTTCAATTGACGGCAACGAAGCGAAGTTTCAACTAGACAGTGCGTTTGATTATAGTGATCACGCGCACAGGTTCAACAGGGATCGCTCAATTGACGGGAAAATCACAGTACGAGTTGATTGGAAATTTTATAGCATACTGTTGACTATAGAACATCGCGATGCTGAACCCTGTAAGTAATGACGATAGTTAAGTTATGATGTGCTGATTATTGAGAGTTCAAAGTTTTAACGGAGTCGTATTTTACCCCTTATAGTAGAATTTCCTATTGAATCACATGTGGATGAGTTTTTTCCTAAAGTGAAGTTCTTGGATCAGACGACTTTCCTTTATCAGAGTCACTTTTCAATACAGATTTGGGAGATCAAAGGAGAAACAATAGAGGAAGTTAAACTGACATATATTTGGGCAGTACCAGACAAATTTATTAAAATTGATGCTGTCGAGCTCTTTGAATCTTATCTCACAATTCATTTTGATGAATCAACCAAGCGTCAAAACGAAATGGTTTTCAGAGAGTCTCGGAAAATGTCTATGAAACATGCTGCACGTTTCCTGGCGCTCGATCCACTAAACCCGAGCCACACAGCTACCAAGTGCTACGAATTTCTTGATGATAAACTTGGCAAAATTGTCTTAAATGACGTTGACGACAACTTTTATACGTGCACCATGGAGTATTTGCTCACATGCATACCAAAGTATCGATCGGCAGAGTGGCTTGAACGTATCTTTAGCAAGGGCAAATACGTTCCGCGTTTTTATCTGGCAAACTACAAATGCAGCTTGCTCAGTCAAATTATATCTTATATTCAACAGTCTGAAAACGAGGAAGATGATCAAATGTCTATAGTTCTTGATCATATAGTCACTTATTGCATCCGGCAAGCCAGAGAATATCCCGGATATATGATGTTTGTTACTCCTCTATTGCACGAGATTGCCGATATAAGACCAAGCAGGTCACAAGAGTATGCAGCATACCTCTCTTATATTTGTCCGGACAAGGAAAGTCGAATGTCATACGAACGCCATATGAGTACACGTGCAATAATGGAACACATCGATATGTCCCATTGCAACCGTAGGAGATTCTCAAAATTTTCAAACGCTTTGTCAAGCCTCTTGAATTTGTCAGGGAAAACCTATCATGGCTATTATGACAATGCGAATTGTATATCACCACTCCCGGGAATAAGCGATCCTATTTTACCACCAAGTCCTATCGCGTCTTATCCTCTCGGAAATAAAAAACACTGGGAAAACTACTTTGCCAAGTTCTATGACGAGACATTTGTACAAAAGATACCGCTCATCGGTTCATGGGTTATCCCGAGCCATTACAGTGTTTTCATTAATCTGGCGGTTCTACGTCACCCTATGCTTCAGGAACCTGCATTTGAAGCGTTGGTAAAATATAAATGGGAAAATTATGGTCAAAAATACTATTTATTTTTATTATTTGCGTATTGGATTTACTCGGCGATGTTTATTATTCCTGCAAGTATTGGTGACAACGTTTTACACGACAGTGGACTCAAATATCCTGTAATCGTGATGGCGACCATTTTTCTTTTATTGGAGCTCAGACAATCTCTTACCTTAAGGCTGAAATACTCCTATAATCTCTATAATATCATCGAGTTGGCTTCGTTTATTCTTCCTCTTATCGTTTCGATAAATGCGCAGGCTGACAATCCACCATCAAGTCGGTCCTTGTCATGGGTAGTATTATTGTTATGGGTGTTTATGGCATTAAATCTTCGGGCGTTTGAAGGGTAATTATTCCGAGCTTCAGTTACTTGTACTCTATTGAAGCAGACACGTGGTAACTAATCCGCGGTTATTCGATTTCTTTTTATTCTATTTAGAATGGGAGTCTTTATCATTATATTATACAAAGCCATTTTAAACTTGGTATCTTTCATCTTGTTGATGTCTGCTATACTTGCTGGCTTTACCAGTGCTTGCTGGATTCTTCTTCGTAACGACAATAGCGACGATAATTTCCAATCATTCTGGTTATCTCTAAACAGCGTGATGACATTCTTAGGAGGCGACTTTTCAGCGGTCAGCGATGTTCATTCGTTCGATGTTAACATGCTGCGAATACTTTTCATGATTAGCACAACAATAATGTTGCTGAACATTCTCAGTAAGTGCGCAAGGGCTCTTATCAACCATCGCATATTCTCTTATCCGTAAACTGACTTGATCTCTATTGTGTTTTCGTGTAGTCGCTATTCTCAACACTGCATACAGTGATGTCGCCTCTCAGGCTCGGAGAATCTGGGTACTCAATTGTGCCGAGATACTTGCTGAATTTGAACTATTCTGGATGACGCCTGAAAAGAAGAAAAATAGGTATGTTTGCTTTTTGATCGAATTTATGACAAATGTGTATATATTCAGTTGCGTTAAATTCAAAATACTTCCCACAATAGGGTTCTATTTCCAAGATATATCTATTACGAAGCAGACAGAAGCAAAGTTAAAGAGTATCGTCAGACTAAGGCGTTTAAAGCAATCGCAGGCATGGAATTGGAGGAACGTCAAATATATAGACATTCAGAAGTTGCGAGTTCCGCCGATACAATTAATTAATATATCTTATTAATATCTAAACACATTAACATTAGAGGAACGTCAAATATATAGACATTCAGAAGTTACGAGTTCCGCCGATACAATTAATTAATATATCTTATTAATATCTAAAAACATTGCATTTCCTAATGTTGAAGCTGGCATGTAATAAAAATGGAAAGTTCTCAAAATGACATTTAATTCGAACATTTAATAGGTGCAGATCGAACACACGTGAATTAAATTCGGTAATGTGATTAATGGTTCGTACGATATAATAATAATATCGCGTCGCGTCTCAAGTTTTTCTTTAATAAAATAATCTACCGATACTTTTTAAACAGAGTATCTTCGAAATGAGACGTTGATTTTTCAGAGGAGCTTAGCGAAGGGCCCTTCGAAAAAACCTAGACGTATATATAAATCGCTTAATAATCTTGCCAAATGTAACGGGGAGAGTGAAGAGCGCTTACACTTGTTGACAGGTACAAGAAGGCAAATAAAGAGTTTTTTTTTCTATTTTAAATGTAGAAACAAGTAGCGTGGCACGAAAACTTCTCGTTTTGCCATAAAGACTTTTTGTTGAGCTACAAAACCAAAGTTGGGGCACAGGCGACCTTCTCGGTGGTATTCAAGACTTATTAAGAACGTCATAGCTAATGAAGAAGAAAAAATTATTCCAAACTTCTTGGAATGTGGTCTTTATTTTTAAATATTTATATCATAAAAAATGGCCGACAAAGCAATTTTTATATATAACTGTTATCAGGAGGCCATCGTCTTCTATCACATTTTTAGACCCAAAAAATATTATCCAAAGTGTATACCAACTTGCTTGCCCTGTTGCCGGGACCACAATAATGAACGATCTAAATTGCTCGGCTTTAAAGATATGCGTAGAAAACAGAAATTATTGGCTCTCTTGCGTGAGTTACAGACTATATTAGCTAATCAAAGAACAATTCTATCGATTGCTCGAGAATAACGGTAGTGACTTCTTTCCCACAATTGATTGGTAAGGCATAATAGATGAAGTTCGCAGAACAATTGAATGCATTAACTAGAACTCTTATATGTCAAGCATTCGCTTTTCGGCTCCAATAAAAGTACTTTTCACTTTTTTAAATGTGCGTATTTCATAAATGACAGTATATTTTACTTTTGAATCTACTGCGCCTGCCTTCATTGCGTAGCTGTTCCAGGAGAAAAATTTAACCGGATGCTGACCACGAGCCCAGTCTTTATCAGCGTTAAAAACAATAAGGTCGACCAGTATGTCGCTTAGGTGGCCATTATCATTTTATTTATTTTCTTATTTTTTTTTATTTGTTTTATCATATATTTTCCTTCATACTGAGGGAATAATAATTATAGAACTAACAACGCATATAATTCAAAAAGAGGACAGTATTATTGTATTATTAACAAAAAAACTATAAAGATTTTCTGTAAAGTCAAAAATACATTGGACTTTATTTCATTATTAGTAGTAGCTCTAACCGTTACAATTGAGTGTTTGTGCTCAATCATTCATTATAAACTGTTATATCGACATGTTACGCTAAAATATCACGCTCTAACATATATAGTGTCAGAATAACTGGCTACGAAATAAAAAGATCATCAAGCATACTTCATCTCATCCTCATTAAATCCAACTGTCGGAAACTTCTTGGCAAATGCAACAACTTCTTCTTTCAATTCTTTTATTCGAGGCTCGCTTGACCCGTCTTCGCCAATATAATTGTTGAAATCTTGTAACTTCTTGTCTAACAATCAGACATGTACGATGACCCATTAATAAACGTTGCTCCACGCAAGCAGTTTCCGCTCAAAAAATTCTTTAATACCTTTGACTTTATCATCCACGTCGACAGCGATGCGTACACCTCGGTCAATGAACTCTGCAACTTTCTCAAAATCTGATTCAACGAGTCCACGCGAAGTCATAGCCGGTGTTCCAATACGAAGACCACCAGGAACAAACGCGCTTTTATCACCCGGAATAGTATTTTTGTTAGCCGCAATATTTGCCAATTCTAACACGCGTTCAACACGTGCCCCATCCACGCCCTTGAAAACAATAAGAGAATTAATAAATAATAGATAGATTCCTGAACAATCAAAACTTGAAATCCGCATATCGCTTTACCTTTGGTTTGAGATTCAATAACAGAAAATGAATGTCAGTTCCATCCGATACCAATTTATAGCTCTTATTCGTAAATGCGCGAGCAAACGCTTGACAATTATCCAACACTTGTTGCTGATACTCTTTAAATAGAGGTGATCTGGTCTGTTTCAATGCTACTGCCATTGCAGTGATGGTGTGATTATGTGGCCCACCCTGATGACCCGGAAATACCGTTTGGTTGATGAGCTTCTCGAGCTCATATGGGATTTCTTTAACAAAATTTGATTGCATTCAGTAGACTTTTCATTATTACTAGAAAACGGAAAGTAAAGTTTGCTTTTCGAGTAAGCCGTGAGAATCAAGTGTTAAAAGAAAGACTTACCGTCACCATTTTTGTTGATTGATCTGGTACCTTTACGGAAGAAAATCAACGCGCCACGTGGTCCACGCAGTGACTTGTGCGTTGTGGTGGTGACAATGTCTGCATACTCAAACGGTGCCGGAAGAACTCCGGCTGCCATCATTCCTACACAAAAAAAAAAGAGAATCAAGCATCATTCTAAATAGATTCACGTTACATATGTCACTCACCGCTAGTATGTGCAATATCGGCCATCAAATACGCATTTATTTTTGCGCAAATTTGCTTCATTCTTGCATAATCGTACTTTCTGGGATAAGCGCTAGCGCCAGCGATTATAATTTTTGGTCTAAACAGAGTAGCGGTTGCCTCAAGTGTATCGTAATCTATATAGCCGGTCTCTTCGTTCAGACGATAAGGCATCGTTTCGAAATAAACTGATACATATGACACCTTTCTAGTAGGCGTCTGATATCCATGAGAAAGACTAAATCAAAACACAGACGTGAGTAATTGGTAAAAACTACTAATCAAGGCAACTAGAAAAACAATCCTTGGTAACCATTGTTATTACTTACTGTCCACCATGCGGTAAATCGAGGCCCATTAGACGTTCGTGGGGTTTAAGTATTGCACTGTACGTATACAAATTAGCTGGCGCGCCTGTTGTCATTGAAATGGCATCTCAGTTATAGATAAAAGTCTGTACTATTTCTCTGTTATTTCTAATTACTACGCGTAAAATGATACCGGATAATGCTTGGACGTTGACACCCCATTTTGTTGGATCAAGGTCGAACGCTTCTAATGCTCTCTTTTGACAGAGAGTCTCTGCTTGATCAATATATTCGTTTCCCCCATAATATCTTGGAATACGAATCATAACAATGAATGAGCATACGTCAAATTCCACAGACTGCATGATATTTTTTTTTTGCCTGAATAACCTATAATTATTACCTGGCCCCAGGATACCCTTCTGAATATTTATTTTGCATTACAGATCCTAATGCATCCATCACAGCACGAGAGGTAAAGTTCTACATATTAAGTCAGTATGGGAACGTAAAAACATCAAACGAGACCATGTGTATGGACAATCACGCCCTCTTAATACCTCTGATGGTATGAGAACAATACTCTCTCGCTGTCGTCTCTTTTCTTTTTCGATGATATCAAAAATTTCGACATCAGCTTCCGACAAAGATTTGTTCAGGAACTAGTGACAATTTACTACTTAATACTATTTCGATTTAAAAACTTGTAATGAATCATCAATCTTTGTCTTACTTCTTTTTGAGCTGCAACTGAGACATATCTTCGCTAAACCATCAGCAAAACAATCGTTTAGTATTTGATCAACAGCATCTTCTAGCTTCTTAAAGTTACCAACCAACAGACAGGAAGTTGCTCTTTGAGAAACTTTTAAGGAATGAGCGAGGCCTATACTCTGCAAGATATTTCTCGACATGAGGCAAAGGTTTCGTTGATCAGAATTTTTTTGGAAAATATAAAAACACGTGTCAGTCACACACAGTATTCCCATGTGATGCAACTCCAAATTAAATAGCTTATAATTCTATGGTTAATCAGAAGAAAGGAAAACCCGATAAAAGTTCGAGGGCCCAAAAGAAAGCAAGCAGGCCCTTTAGAAATTTCGCAAGGACCGTTTGTTTAATCTTGGCATGGCGCACAACCGACCTCACCCTTTTGTAAAATCTGGATGTAATCTTTTTTTTTCCTTTTTTTTAAAGAAAATTACGCGTAAACCAAATATTTGTTAAAAGGACAGTGATAACCGATAACTTCCTAATTAAGCATACGCAAACGTTAACTGGCAAATTTAGTAATAGTTCGTCCTACGTCTTTATCTTGTATGTGGTTAATGAATTATGCGCTTCACATAACAATGCTATCGGACTAGTCGTTAGTATCTACAGTTCTAACCAGAGTTGTAAGCATATAGAATAAACAAGAGTGCGAGTTTTAACTAATGCAAATAATCTACTAATCTATTAATTTTATTAATACGGCTAGTAATTGATTAATTTTTAGTCATTATAGGATCATAGACACGGTCATAGTCTGCATCGACGTCAATGTCATCTCTTTCAGCACCATCAACATTATACACTCTGAGAAGATCAAATAGCTCAGGGAAGACATGTTTATGCACGTCTGCCGCCCAAATGAAGTCTGACGTTAAGTATGGTTGAACGTTAGCTGCATACTCAATAAACTAAAATCGTTGAAAACGGAGAAATATTACCCTACTTACCTATATGTTCATACTTCTTCACTTCCTTCAAAAGCACGCATTTAGGTAATTGTCTGGTCAATACGTTTATATCCACCAGACTGTCACTTCCACCATAGAAAACAGCAATTGGAGTGGCAATCTGTTGAGTAGGGAACCTAGACGGGCAATATCCCAGTGAAGTGTAAGAAGAATACGCGGGTAACTCGTCGTACACCTGGAAGTTTCTTGCTCTGATTATCTGAAACCAGTGTACGAGACTTTTGGTACTCGCGCAACTATACAGATGATAATAGGACACAGCCTTCTGAGCTTCAGTGATTAAATCGAGTTTCCATCCAAATAGGAAACTCATAGCCAAGTCAAGAATCTTTGTAAAAATGGGCGGAGCGAGTACTTTTTGCCAGAACAGAACAACAGCTAAACATGCTTTACGACCGAAAAGAAGGTAGACTATGTTTGGCGATGCCTTGATAATCGCATCAACAAAAATGTTATGAAGACCTAAAAGAAGGTAAAGATATCAATAGACATATCAAACAGGTTTAACGATGAATCTGTATAAGGAATTGACCTCTTGGACTTGTAGCAGGAGCCAGCGCAATAAACAGATTAACTTTTTTGTTGAGTTGCGGGCTGACCGACAGGGCTGCAAATGCTGTTGCCGTTCCTTGAGAGAATCCAATATACGTAAGTGAAGGTGCGCCTGTAGTCTCGAGAATGTACTACACGCATCGACTGGTTAATTTCAATACAAAGTTTAAAGCAAAACTTAGGCATCATTCAAAATACATACGTCAACCAAACTCGGCAAATCACACATTGCAAATTCATCAATACAGTAATTCCAGAATTGAGTCCCATTTGGACTGTATTGAGTGTGTTTCATGGAATACTTGTTACCACGTGCATTACCGAACCATACGTCATAACTATCCATCATACAAAAAACATTACAAGACTCTGTTAGCATTTGGCATCGTACGAATGTACAATTAATTAAGAAACATACCCAGCATCGGCTAATAATGTTGCCATTCTGTTCTCATCCTCAAGATTGCATAACCACACTTCGCTGCACATCATCAATCCATGATACAACAAGACAACAGGCCTTACGTCGGATGTTTTACCAGAGATAGTACCTCGAATAGCCGATACGGGAATCCCACGTTTTTTGAATATACTTTCAATACTTGGACTACCCTCAGAACGTGGCGTGGATCTTCCTCGTGGAATACGGTGCACTCCTAACATGTAATTATCTTGTGTTTTCACGACGTGTTCCTCGGATGGATATTCCCTAGCGATAATTATTCGTTTTATAGTATGTTCTATGCAGTTTCCTTTCGGACTGTTGCAATCAACACATACCAGAACTCAGCCATCTCGGAGAAGTTATTAGCTTTTTGCAATTTTTTAACGGGATCTGTCCTTTCATCTTTATAGAACTTGGAGAAAATCCTAAATAGTGAAGATCCGAACAGTAATTTAGGATATGCAACCATGTAAGTTATTGACGTTTTTGTAAAAGGATTTTTTTCTCTGATTTTTGATCTCTTAACAAGATCACACACCTCTGACTTTCAGTCTTGCAAATCTCTAGCACAGGGAGTGGTAAACAGAAAGTAACCAAACGCAGGATAGCCTCAACAAATAGCAGCAACCATCCAATAAACAAGGCCTGATAATCACGCAAGTTAAGACGGCCAAGAATGGGTACGGCCATTATTTATCAAAGTATCTTGGCGGTAAGGCAGAAATTGTGATATAATGATCTTCTATGCAGTAATAAGAATAAGAAGTCGACAACTGCTTTTATATAAATGGGGAAAGTTGTGGAGCGAAAAATGCATATTTTTAGGTGGTCGTTTACGCCATGAAGATCTACTGGTTATGTCACACAGCACATGAAAATTAAGTCGGGGATTTTATCTTGCTGATCGCAATATTTTAACGTCATTACTTACATATAATATATATATACTGTACGTGTATTGTACATTATAATTAATTTAGCATACTGATTGTTGACATTATTTATACAAGCCGACAGCAAAATAATAATTATAATGTCGATCGGATTAATGAAAATGTTTATTGCGACGATCAGCTTCAAAAGGTAGCACGAATACTATTCTCGAAGGAGTAACTCGATCACAATAGGCCATTTTTAACTCCAACAGCGAGATGGATGCCTTCTTTGACAATCAGCGAATCAATTACTATGATGTCGAGCATAATCCATTAGAACGGGATACATTTACGTGTAAAGCATGCGTTTAATCGAGTGGTTATTTGATTTAAGTGATTAGTTCAGGAATATTTAAAGATAGTAACGCCTAATTATGATCACTCAAGAGTCATTGATGCGCCCGATCCAATCTCAAGTCGGCATACTGCAAAGTATAAAGGATAATATAAATTGTTGTAATTAAAACACTTTAAAAACTTTGATAAACGACGTAATTATTTATTTTCGAGGTAAGCAATCGTTTATAGTCTTACTAAATGGTGTTTAATTTGACAAATATTCGCATACTGCTTGCACTCGAAACAAAGAGTACATCCTACACTAAACAATGATGTTTTTCTGCCTTATTTATCAGATTATTCCATTTGGTGGGATATTCCTGTTTGTCTGAGCGAGATTCATGACGTGGAATTAGTGCATTGTGATCTTCAAAGTGGAGACATATTATGCATGATGACTATGCTTAAAAGATTCATGTCAGTGAATCACGTGTCAAGGAGGGCGTTAGAGAAATCAGGCGTGTATTCTTTGTTATGCATTGATGACCTGTGAACCGCCTTTTGGTTTAATAAACTTTTGATATGCAATATTATGCCCGATTCTGTGCCAAAAGAAACTTGATTCTGATAGCGTCCAGATGCGTGGATAATTCAGAGTGCTATTAACGATATATACACTCACTACCAAAAAGTATTGGCCGAAATGTCGATCACCTGAAATCCGTGATAAAAGAATGTGTATTTCAATTGGTATTTGTGAACGATACAACTTGCCAATTTAAGTGAATCTA